AACCTTTCTTCGAGTGGCAGCCTCGTAGTTCTTTCAATATTATATAATATTATATCGTTAAAATGTGCGCGGCTTTTGGGTGGCCCAAAGACATCAATACTACAGGAAGGTCAATATCGCAAAATTTGTTTCACATGTGCCTCCTGTAGGTACATTCAGTTTACAATTATAATTATTTCACTAGATTAGTGTAGTAACATATATAGTTATGAACCGGTATCCCTAGGGATATAACTATATCATGGCTTTAACTATCTTACTGCGACACATATTTTTTTTAAGTATCCAACGTTAACAAAGTAACAGTCAGGATTATTTTTCACTACGAATTACGTACTTCGTGGTAGAGCCATGCTGCAGTTATATTATGGTTGTAGCACGAATGGGTCGGCTCGACCGGGGAAGGACCACGCTCTCACTGAATACCAGCGTAAAATAGCAGCTTAACGCTGCTGTGTTTCGTATGGTGAGTGTAGAGAACCGGAGACCTATTTTACTGGAAAAGAGACATTCTATCTTAGTCCTCACGGCTGACAACGCATCTGCATTTTAATTCGCAAGCTAGAGATAGATGTAGATGTCTATGGGCCACAGCTACCACTGACCATCAGGTGGACTGTGTCCTCGTTTGTCACCCTCATTCTATAAAAATGATTACAATCAAGGAGCAACACAATGTTTTGAACTTGACGAAATGGTGGCCGAAGGACCTCACACCATCCTGATGGATATTGGTTCCCGGTCAATTACGCTGAAACTTCAGTATGTTGTTCTTCTTGATATTCTGATCAAATGCTCCAATAGGCTCGAGGTCAGAAAGTCGCTAGTTTTCGAGATACAGACCATCGAACTTCCGATACATGGCTATCTCCTGTTTAGCTAGGCAGGGTGTCGGGAAACAACATAATACTTATAAACATAAGTGATATATGTACACCGATGGTCAAAGAACATCCCCTGCTCTCACATTTATTAGAAAATACCAACTACCCTAATACAGAATTTGGGGGGAAGCCGCCCCATCGATTGGTCAGGTTCGTTCACCCAAATAGGTTAGCTAGTTAGGTGGGATAGTTGACTCAATTGGATTGCGGTGGTCGTAGAGTGTGAAGCGCTTTATTCCATTAATCCAAATAAGTACAACATACTAGTGTCCACATAACTACAATGCATGTATGGTCGTATGGGATGGAGTTATGAGAACGTCTGCATATTTCTACAATTATATGCATAAGTCCTGTTTTCTGAATATATATTACAAGGTGGATACAAGTCGGCGATCAAGACCTTGATCCGTATTTACAAGCTCTACACACTAGTAATCGATAAACATCGATGTTAACTAGTACTAACTACTAATAACCTATAATGAGCGATGTTAACCGCTATCGATCACCACCAACCAATAATGTCAAATATTGACCAGATATAATGACTACTAACCAATAATTATTAAGTATTAAATAGTACTCACTAGTAGTAACGTATAACAAGCGTTTTTAACCCAGTATTATTATATTATAATATAACTAGTGTTAACCAGTGTCAACCACTGATAGCCAATAATTACGAGTTTGAACACTTATAACCAATGATTACCAGTTTTTACCAGTATTGACCACTAATAACCGATTATCATCACCATTAATACAAATGCGTATCTGTCTAGCGATTGCTTCTTCGACAGTCCTCTTTGGGATAGTTGAAGAATATTCAAGTAGCAACTATTTTAATAATAGTCCATATCAGAATAGTTAACTGCATATGATATTTTACCAGCATATGAAGCGATCGTTTCTTTGACACTCCATTTAGTATAGTTGAAGAGCATTCATATTTGGTGGGTGGCTGCTTCTCCAAAAGTCCTTCTCAGGATAGTTGGTGATCATTCACATTAAATGCACTGATTGTTTCTTCAACAGTTATTTTTAGGATAGTTAAAGAACGTTCACATTTGGCGGGTGGCTCTCCAGCAGTCCTTTTCAGGATAGTTGGTGATCTTTCCCATCAGGTGCAGCGATTGTTTCTTTGACAGTCGTTTGCAGGATAGTTAAAGAACATTACCGTTTATTGGATGGTTGCTTTTCCAACAGTCCTTCTCAGGATAGTTGTCAATTTTTCAGGTCGGGTGTACTGATTGTCTTTTCGACAGTCCTTTTTAGGATAGTTGAAGAGCTGAAGAAGAATTCCAGCTGGAAATGTTAAGAGATCAACATAGACTGCCTCTACCAGGTTTCGTGAGAGTTCGAGTCTTCTCTCGATTTCGCAACGCTACTAAACATCAGCTTTGGATATAATATATACCAACTGTTGTGGACATTGAACAATTGGAGGATTAAGAAGAAGAAGAGAATGAGAATCATATACAGGGTTATTATTGTACCTGTAAGTCTGGTGCTCGGACAGTTGGAACATGTGCACATATTGCAGCGTTATATGGTTCTTAGCATATGCACAACATTAAGATAATGTCCATTATCCATCCCAAACACTAATCGAGTCCGTACAAGATGCAGGAAATAAACTGCGCTAGTATACAATAAATAATCAACAACTCAATTGTGTGTTAGAATGCCTATGAAAATGTTATAAAAATCAGCCCTTTTAAGGGCTTTATGATGTATAAAATTCGATCGCGCAACCTCCACGTGGTATACATCGGGTAACGCTGTTGCCGACGGTTCGTGAGTTACATTTAATAGTAAATATCTAAAATCCCTTTAACAAAATATTATTGTTGAGTTTAAACAAGAGTTACAGCGGTATAATCTCCTATTAGCATATGTTTCAACCTCGAACACTTGTTCATACCGAGCAGTACGGGATTGAATCTCAACCGAACTGTATATCCAATCTAAATCTCCTAAGCCCATAGGAGTAGATCAGGAATAGGTTATTTTAAAGCCAACTTAAATGAAAGAAAATACATAAAAATCACATAGGATGTCATTACGTTTGTCATATTCCAGGATTTCCAATCAATTATGTATAGTTTATATTTTGTTCACTGCTCTATCGCGTTAAATAGAAGAATACTCTAGTCATTACAAACAAGAAATTGTACGGTAAAATAGTACGTTATTTATCACGAAGATATCACATTTTGATTGTCGCCACATTAATCCTCACGCTGATGAATAGGCCGACGTACTGCCGCCTTAAAACTGTTAAGCGCCGAAAGACCATTCAAGCCGCGTGGAAGAGAATTCCAGAGGTCACCCTGGGCGCTAAATGAATTTAACCCAGCATCAGTACACAAGGCAAGAACTACGAGTTTCTTTGGATCCCTACATGAGGTTCTTAGACTGCTTCTTCTCGAAAAGGGAAGTAAGGTACAGCCGCTGTCTCATTACAACTGTTTTCTAAAGCAGTACTTTGTAACAGTACAAAATACTCCCTTCTTGCCCGCACCGAAATCCAACCTATTTTCCTTCTGAAGGGGGAGATGTGCTTGTCTCTTCTGACACCACAGACGTACCTCACGCATGAGCTATAAAATCGCTAGAGTCTAGTGTTCTGTTGACCTGATACATGAAGATAGATAAGAGAGCAGTCCGTGTGCGAGATGACGAGAGCGCCAGCCAACCGCTTACTCAGTGCCTTGGTGGTGCAGGATCAAAAGGATCAGAGTTTATAAAGAACTCTGTTAACCTTTCAGCTTATCACATTCACCTCAATCCATCCAATGAAAAACTAAATAATGAAACGGTCTTAAGACAGACACCCTGCCTAGTTAAACATGAAATAATCATATAGCGAATCTTTGACGCTCTGTATCTCGAAAACTAGCAATTTTTGAACTTTTTGCCCATTGAAGTTGTTCATCATCGTCGATTCGTACTTATATTGACACTAAGAAGTTTACATAACCAGTTAACTTACTTGGACAAAGAAAATAACGCGCTTCACGTTCTTCAGCCCTCTCGATCCAATTGAGTCAAAGTACCCCACATAACCAGTTAACCTCATTGGGTGAACTAACTTGGCCAACCAAAAGGTATTAGTGTACTTGGTTTTCTGATAAATGTGAGTGAAGGGGATGTTCCTTGCTACTGGTGACAATATCTCACTTATCTTTATACGTATTATGTTGTGTCCCGACACCCTGCCTAGCTAAACAGGAGATAGCCATGTATCGGAAGGTCGATGGTCTGTATCTCGAAAACTAGCGACTTTCTGACCTCAAGCCCATTGGAGCATTTGATCAGAATATCAACAAGAACAACATACTGAAGTTTCAACGTAATTGACTGGGAACTAATATCCATCAGGATGGTGCGGGGTCCTTCATTCAAAAAACATGTTTGTCAACTGAATCTTATAGAAAACTAGCTGTTCCCCGCGACTTCGCTCGCGTGTTAGGGTTTTTATGTTTTTCCGCGGAACCCTAATTCTTTATCCAAAATAAAAGTAGCCTAAGTTACTCCTTATGAAATCAGCTGCCTGCCAGTGAAAGTCCCGTCAAAATCGGTCCAGGCGTTTCGGAGATTAGCCGGAACAAACAGACCGACAGACAAAAATTTTAAAAATTCTGTTTTCATTATAAGTACCGTATTATACTTTTATATGCAATTAGTAAAAATCTGTAATTTTGACATTACAAACAGACAATAGATGTATAGATATGTCCCAAAAAATAAAAGAAAAATAATTTGCGCCTTCAACATATATATGTTTTCACTATGATTCAGATAAAAAAGGTACTATCACAGCCAAGGAATTTATTGACGGAATCATTAAACATTCATTTATGCGAATGAAAAAAACTCACACCTTTTTTTCATTTCCATCAGCCAAGGCTTATGATTTTAGAGCTCCTGCTAATAGTAAAAAATTAGATGAATTAAAACGAGTTCAGGATAGCATTCTGGAAGAGTATAATATACCATTTTATTAGAACATATTTAACTGACCAACTACGAGTATAAAGATTGAAGGTAATGAAGATGAGAATGACGGAGAATATGATTACGTTTCTAAAAGATGTTAAAACATGAATAATGATAACATGTGACATGTTTTCATTATTTTTCGAGAGTTCATCTACACTTGATTTCCCTGACGAAGATGGATATGATAGCGAAGGTAAAGTTAGGTCTATCTCCGATTTTGAGCCTGAGCCTGAAGAGTTAGGAGAACAATCTGGTTCTCTGGAGGAGGAGCAATCCAGATCAAATGTAGACTATCTTACACCTAAACAAAACATAAAATGGAGGCACAGACAAATCGTAAACGAAATTCCAACGGATTTCCTCCTACCTGTCGCAATTGATCCCATCGATGCCTATGGATTATTATTATAAAATAACTTTGCATGGCTGATATGACCAACTTATATGCAGTGCAGTCAGAAAGTAACAGATTTCGGCCCACGACCAGTAAAGAAATGGAAATCTTATTTGGCTTACACATGGCTACAGGAGTATTCAATTATCCCGTTTTGCGAATGTACTGGGAAACTAACGTTAGCATTCCCTTTTTTACAGAAAATATGACAAGAGACAAAAGTTGGTTGCATCTAATAAAAAGAATCAGTGAGAATAGTGGCCATGAGTTATACTGCGATAACTATTTCTCATCCTATCACTTGCTGCAAATTTTGAAACGCAAAGGCTTAATGGCTATCTGCACAGCTCGTATCAATAGATTTGTAAACCCTTCATAGCTCAGTGATAAAGATATAAAAAAGAAACCAAGGGGTTTTGCTCAAGAGGTTTGCAGTACTGATGGGGATGGTACAGTTGTCAAGTGGTTAGATAACAAGCCAGCCAATTTAGCATCCAACTTCATCGGCATAGGAGAAAAGGACTTGGTAAAGAGGTGGTCAAAAACAGAGAAAAAATTCATAGAATTTGAGAGGCCTGAAATCGTGAGAAAATATAATCACGCGATGGGAGGTGTTGATCTGCTAGATCAATTGATGAGTTATTACAGAACGTTTATCAAATCAAAGAAGTGGCCCTTGCGTATGATCTTTCATGAGTCTGATCTGGCAGTAGTGCAAGCCTTTCGAGACTACAACATAGATAACGACTTGCTCGGAATACCAAAGGCGAAAAGACTCTCCCTTCTGCGATTTCGTCGAAGACTGTCCGATGCTCTAAGTTTGTGCAACAAAAAGAATGTCGCGAAACGAGGTCGACCAAGCAGTAACAGTCCCTATTCCAACAGTAACTCCAAGAAGACCAGGAGAAGTGCGCCCATCTATTGAAGTTGCTCGTGATGGTGTCGGTCATTTTACTGCCCACGATGGTGGGTCTGGAACACGTTGCAAATTAGTGGGGTGTAAAGGAAAATCCCGCATCAAGTGCGTTAAATGTAAAGTGCACTTGTGTTTCACTAAAGACAAAAATTGTTTTCTAGTTTTTCATTCCTAACTAAAGTTCCTAAGTTCCTAAAATGTATTGTTTATATTAGAAGATTCCTCATGTTTTTTAAAAACTAAGAAGTAAGAATATTTTTTTTACAATCACTTTAGCCGAATGTCCACATGTGAGCACATAAAGAAAACAGCTATTTTCTCAGTAATTATTTTACTAACCAATATTATTTTATTGTTTTCACACTCAATCAGGCGTAAATTAATCGAAAAAAATCAACAGTAACATACAGTTCAAAATAAAAAATCAGTTCTGAAAGGGTTAAAACTCGTTTATCTGTGAATGACAGTTTTTCGGATTCCTGAAAAAATATATTTGTGTGACTGTGACATAGATACAAAAGGTTTATGAATTTTGAAGTGACCGATTCAATTTGAATCGCATTGATGTTGATGATTTTACCAATTGATTACGGCGATCAATCGAGGACGTAGTCCAACTACTCCTCGATAAGCAAAAATTTTTCTAACTCCATAAAGGAGTCCTGCCAGCGTGGTGAGTATGGGCGAAAGTTATGTAACAAATGAAAATAGGTTATTTTTTATTTAACTATCACTTCATAGTGCGACTTGAAAGTATTACAACGACATCTTTTGACAGGAATACTACTTATATTGTTATAAAAATTGTGTTTCTTTTTGATAATATCTTTATAAATTCATTTACCAAGTTATGTAGTCTGGAAGTAGCCGTAATATCGTAGTTTTTTTTTTTTTTTTTTTTTATACGATAAGGGTGACAAACGAGCACACAGTCCACCTGATGGTAAGTGGTTGCTGCGGCCCATAGACATCTACATCTATCCTCTATTACAAATCAAAATGTAGATGCGTTGTCACCCGTGAGGACTAAGATGGAATGCCTCATTTCCAGTAAAAAGGGCCTCCGGCCACCTACACTCACCAAGCGAAACGCAGAGGTAAACCTCTACTTCACGCTGGTTTTCTGTGAGGTCGTGGTACCACCCCGGTTCGAGCCGGCCCATCCGTGCGACAGCAAAATCTGCCGCGTGGCTCTACCACTGTTAATAAAAGGCTTTGTTTGTTGTTTATAAAAGGCTTCAGCACTGCTCCTGAAACTTAATTGCCTAATAATTCTATAGATTACGAAAAAATATTTATTTTCGTAATGAAATGAAATGGTTATAGCGCCATCTAGCGGTAGTCATTTTTCTAAAGTTTCCCCTTTAACACTCACAAGAACTCTCATTTAGAGATGTAGGAGGCAATTATAGTTGGTGGTATGTAAACGTAGTGAATAGTGATTTTTATAATCTACTCAGGTGGCTCTCAAGCTCAAGCAGGTGGTTCAGAAGCTCAGAACCGTGTTTTGAGGCAATTCCTTGGGGGAGACCTATGTTCAGCTGAAATTGTGAATGGATGTAATACTATTAATAATAATAATAACCTAAAAATAAACAAAAATTATAAAACATGTTGTCAAGCAGATAAGTAGCATTTTGCACATGGACTACATTGGTGTGCACGCCTTTTAACTTCATGTATAACACTCAGAATTCTTAAATTTGAGCACACAGTTATAAAATAATTTATCAGTATAAATTCAACATCAAAGCAGAGAAGCAGGACATCACTCATTTACATATTCAGGTGGAGCACATACAGTCCACCTGATGGTAAGTGGATGCTGTGTACTGTGTGTGTGTGTGGGGGGGGGGGGGGACAAATGCCTCGTGAAAAGAATCTCCGGTTCTTTACACTTACCATACGAAACAGCAGCATTAAGCTCTATTTTCTAATGTGAATTATTATTTATTTTACATACAAAAATCGCGCCGTTTTAATTAGGGTGCAATATTTGTAAACATTTCTTTTAATCGATAGATTATAAAAATGTAATGCACATTCATTCACAACCAAATTGTACCAATAACAATTTAAAAAAACCGGCCAAGTGCGAATCGGACTCGCGCACCGAGGGTTCCGAACAAATCCGTAGGTATATAAGTTTAAAATTATTGAAAATATTTTTATTATATGATGTAACTAAAAATTTATGCTTTTCGCAATTTTTCCTTTATCTGTGCTATAATACTTTGCTTCCTTGAATCGTTCAAGGTTGCTTCATACCAAATTTTAAGATCCTGAGTTCACGGGAAGTACCCTGTAGGTTTTGATTCCCTTGCGAATGTTACCTTACCCTGTAGGTTTTGTTTTTATACGTGGTAGAGCCATGCTGCAGCTATATTAGTAGTGTAGTTGTAACACGAATGGGTCGGCTCGACCGGGGAAGGACCACGCTCTCACAGAATACCAGCGTCAAATAGCAGCTTCATGCTGCTGTGTTTCGTATGGTGAGTGTAGAGAACCGGAGATTCTTTTAACTGGAAAAGAGGCATTCTATCTTAGTCCTCACGGGTGACAATGCATCTGCATTTTGATTCGCAAACGAGGATAAATGTAGATGTCTATGGGCCACAGCAACCACTTACCATCAGGAGGACTGTGTGCTCGTTTGTCACCCTATCCTATAAAAAATGTCGAAAATTTGCGGCATAAACGGCTGTATCATTTGATTGCGTTGGCTTAGATGTTTGATTTTTTCACAGCTCCAAGGGACAGTAGACTTGAGTATTTGATATGAATTTCAGCTTGATACCTCCACGCGTTCCTGAGAAAAAGGGCCTTGACAGACAGACGGACAACAAAGTGATCCTATAAGGGTTCCGTTTTTTCCTTTTGAGGTACGGAACCCTAAAAACGATGATAAACAAGAAAAATCGTTGTGGTTAAAATTTCAGCCAGTTTGTACCGAATGTAGTTCTTACGGTAACGAGGCAACCTATCTTCGCCCTTAGGGGGCGTCAACTAATTATGTGAGGTGTTCTCGGGTCACGAGGAAGAGGGGCGAGCCGAATCTCACAGAATCTCACGTGGGTCATGGACGTACCATGACGTTCCTTTCAGTATTTACCGTGTGATATTTATAATAATAATAATAATAATAAATCTTTATTTCGGTTAACAAATGAGATCCATATCACAGATATTAGAAAATCACAAAATAATAATAATAGTACAGCTAGGTGGACGGAGAAAGTACGCACGCACGCAATAACGTAATTTTTTTTTTACAAGAACCAAGTCTATGGCTAATTCTTACACAATGGTCTATATCGCGGTCATTCGAACTCCATAAATAATATAAAAATAATTAGGCTAATTATGTTTTTTCTTTTTAAATAAAGTCAACGCAATTAAGAACAAATCAACGTATTTACACTATAGATACGCATTTTGAAAAATCTCATGTGAGACTTGAGGGCGTGGGTAAGGGGGTCGAGCCATATCTCACGTACGTCATGTCAGCCAAAATTCCCTCAAGCAGTTAATGGAGGGCCATTAATGGTGACAACGGTGCGGTGTCGTCAATAAATGTGTATGGGCCACTCCAACCACTTGGGACTGTGTGCTCGTTTGTCACCGTTATTATACAAACCCAATCATACCAATTACACATAAAAATATTGTTTTCAAATTCCACGTAAATCGGACGTAAAATTAGTAATTAAAAGCTGAAGGATAGATAACCTAGGCTAGGTTACCTATGACAGGGATTGAACACCTTAGTTCCTAGTGACCGGGGCAGCTAAGCACTCGAAACATCGGTATATTAAAACAAGATAAGATAAATAGCGATAATATTCATAAACGTTGGTGGTTGAATCCATATATTTTATGAATAAGTATTTAATATATGTACTTATTAAAAAGAAATAAGTAATTATATAAAATATATATTTTTATTTGTTTAATAACTTGCCTATATTTTTGTATTCATAAATATCTGCAAAAGAAAATTTTCTGTCTTGAATATTTAAAACAAAAATAATAACTTTGTAGAGCGAAATTTCTAATGAGATTTTAGCTGAAAGTGCTCAACGTTGCCTGCAGTTATCGCTACTGTACTGGACTTGAATTGACGTGAATCCTTTAGAATCTACTTGTGATGTCTTAAAAGCTTTTGAATTTATTCCCTTGTTATTCTGTGAAAGCAAAAGTACCGTATAGTGGCCGTGTAAGGATATCCACTATCCCATGTCATCCTGTCGGTATCGTAAGAACCGGCACAGGCAAGGAAACTGAAACAGGTGATAAGCAGTAGCTTCTTTCTATTAATAGCTCGAAATTATATAAAAAAACTGCGGTTGTGAACCGGTCTGCCAAGTGTGACGACTTTGGCGAAATCCCCTCTATGAGGTATTCCATGGGTGAGGCCTATGTTCAGCAATGGATTTTTATACGCTGTTATGGATAGATGAAAAGCTAAGAAAATTAAAAAATTAACTGTCTATATCTCACATTATTCGTCTGAGGTACATTAATTTGTTACGGTAAGCCCGTAACAAATGTACCTCAGACGAATAACGTATCATATATCAATATCAACGTATCAATATCAGTATCAATGTATCATATCATATATCACGTATTAATAAATTGAATTATGTTTTCAATTTTCATATTACTTATATATTTTTAACCTCATAGTAAGTGGTGATACAACTGAGCTATTCACTCTTGCATTGAAGACATACACATTGTAATCAAATGGAAAAATACATCTCGGTTAGGAGCCAAGGTGATCTGGCTCCTTTTACATGTTACACGTAAAGAGGCAAGTTTGAGTTTTGATGGCGTGGAATTTTACAAGATTAGCATCTTGTTACTTATTTTATTTAATCCTCATTTCTCAACCTTTTTAATATCGTGGCATTCTAAAAATCCACAGAAACCATGCGACTCTCTCCTCTCTCACTTCAATATTTTAATTTAATCATTCATAAAAGCCTACGAAAATTTATATTTTATATTTGATTACTAACACATATGGAGTGATTCAGAAATATAAAGGTATTATATTATCAATCTATCTGTCTAATTATATGTATGTATATATAAGAGATTTCCACCTATGTACTGACTCATCATGATATCTCCGGAACCATAAAGCATAGAGACTAGAAATTTGTTAGG